TCGACCTTGATGATGATAATAATAATTATTATTATTGATATGAATGCTTGATGACTTGTCCAGTTGTCGACACGACGACAGGTAGATCTACTGAAGTACTACCGGTACTACCATTAATTTTATGTTACGGCATGTACTACAGTCTGTACGTCTTTTTTTGCATGATGCTATCTAGGCCTAAAGGGGAAGTTAATAATTATAAGGCAAAAATTAAAATTTCACCAGTTGTAGTCTTCGGAGTGCTGAGTCGAATGGTCGTGGTCCGAGGAAGCTGAGACGCTCCCTTCCTACTTGAATCCCAATCGAACTCGCGCACTTCCACCGAAACTGGGTGACTGCGCCCTACTAGATGGGGATTTGTATGCAAAATGTCACTAAAAGCGCCATTTCGTTCTTATAAAAGCACGGATGACCGCGATTGGCCCATATGTTGTAGTCTTTTGGACGCTGAGTCGACTGGTTTTGGTCCGAAAAGGCTGCGATGCAGCGTTCCTCCTTTATTCCCAATCGAACATGGTTGAAGAAGCGGTCACGTGGTCCTGCGTGCCCAAATCACCTGGTCACCACGCCAGCAGGTGACAACTTTCACACCAAGGTTCAACTCGAGTTCAACTCGAGTGACAGGACTGCACCCAAAAAAGGTCAAACAGGCTAGTAAGTTGTACCAAGAGTCCACCGGGACTCTTGGTTGTAGAGGAGACGGCTCGACACCGGGACGTTTTGACAGCCAAATTTGTATAGACCCAAACCGATCATCAGCGTTGATTTTTCACTCGAAATATGCTTGTGGAAGGAAACTGGCATGTTGAAGTTTGCTCTGGGGCCAGAGTCAATCGAACTGAGCCACTCCTTTGTGTTGACACATTGCCTCCAAGTTGCCCAATTTTTCGCTTCAAAAAAGTTCAAATCAGAGGTGGCTCCAAACCGGACACGTTTTAGAGTGCCCGTCAAATTCACTCTGGGTCTGAAATTAGGCAATTGCTATCGCTCCACGACGGCCAGTACAGAGTAACAATAAGCCTTGTGTGTGCTTCCATTAGTTTTAATTGGTATGCGGTGCTTTATTGGCGAGAGGCGAGCCGCTGTTTACCTGCGACAAGAAATTGATTTTTCGAAAGTCGTAAAACTCAAGTCGCAGTGCGAAGCAACACGTCAAAAACTCACCTGCTTGATATGGCGCTTCTGGTCATCGCAGAGCCATGAAATTTTGGCTCGGAGTATAACACATCGTAGTCTCACTGTGACATATGTTTTCTAATCAAAATACCAAGAGAGAAAGTGAATATTGAGTCCGTTCCGGTTTGCAACCGGTGTCCTATTTGAAACCGTCCCCTCTACCCTGCAGGCACGGTCCTTTTCGGACCAAAGCCAGTCGACTCAGCGTCCAAAAGACTACAACCAAGAGTACATAAACCTGTACTCTTGCTACAACATATGGGCCAATCGCGGTCATCCGTGCTTTTATAAGAACGAAATGGCGCTTTTAGTGACATTTTGCATACAAATCCCCATCTAGTAGGGCGCAGTCACCCAGTTTCGGTGGAAGTACGCGAGTTCGATTGGGATTCAAGTAGGAAGGGAGCGTCTCAGCTTCCTCGGACCACGACCATTCGACTCAGCACCCCGAAGACTACATATACAACTGGTGAAATTTTAATTTTTGCCTTAACTTCCCCTTTAAGTATACTAGTACAGGCTAGCTGTTCCTGCAAAAGGCTGCATGCAATAATTATCATGATTGTCTTCATGATAACGTCGTTACTTTGATCATACTACCCTTTTCAGGTGATCTACGGATATTTCCCCTAGTTTGAGGTGATTATGGCTCATAATCCCCTCAAACGAGGGGATCTCATATCCACAGGAAATCCTGTGGATCCCCTCGGACGGTGGGTCGGACCCAGTATGCTATTGCGGATTATGTTATACTTATAGCAAGGAAATTTTGTGCAGAAGTGATTTGGTTTCGGCAGGGACATTCACATTTCGTACGTTATAGCGAGGTCTGACCTGTAGTAAGGAGCAGTGTTATGTCATTCGCCTTGTAACATGCTGTCGACTTCGAATATCACCACTACATGTACTGTGCTCGACTGCTGTAGGTCGACAATGCAGAGTGCAGAAGCCCCGTGCACGTGAGTCGACCGGCGAAGCTGGGGAAACTACTTGCGGTGCCACCAGGCACCACTGCCAACCCTGCACCGTAAGAGAGCATCTCCCAGTCTGGAACCTTCGAATGTTTATCCGGTTGTTGATGGCACTGTGACGTGGCCAATAAGAAAAAAAAACACAGCAATGGGATTGACCAAGATAGAGAGCAGAATGTTGATAATGATGATACATTCTTCTTAAAAAAAAAATTATGATGTCAGATGGTTGTTTTATTTCAAAATCCAAGCGGGGGTTTCTTCCCAGTAAGGAGGTATAGCGAAGAGCATAACACAAAAACATCATTCTATGACATCACGCTATGACACAATTGCCATGAAGGTGTGTTTGTTTGCTGATGTTTTGTGCACCGAACCATACACATAGAATTGCTGGATCCTACAGCTGTACATGTAGGTGTAATTTTACAACTCTTCAGGCCAGCTACAGAGTACAGGTCTCTGATGCAAAGCCTCGCAGTAACGGATATCTGTGATTCTGTCCATCAAGCCAGTCGATCAAATCTGACTATTGACGATCCAGCGCTGTCTTTGTCCTGTCAAGACCAGATCTTGGCCTTCAGGCTGGCAAACGAGTCTGACGAACAGCTCTCACCAAAACACTTCTGTCAAAACACTTCTGTCAATGAGTGACGAGGTGGCGGAGCTGTACTGGTGCTGTTTCCATGGTTTCTCTACCGGCGAAGTTACCGAAATTTTTAAAAGTTCCACCGAAAATGACGTGTTTATACAATAATAATTATACAGTATTTTGTCCGTGCAAGCGAAATTGAGATGTGGAAATGTTTGTAGCCTATGCCTGAGATCCTTACGGAAGCATTCTTGCTCCTTGCTGTTTACATGCTCAAGGTTAGGATCATTATAAGGATCGCTTGCGTACACAGTCATGTATATGACTGTACTTATACAAAGTACATGCACAATATTTAAAAAAACAAACATTTTGCAGTCGGCTACTAGCTACCCGGAGAAGGTACTGATAGCGGTATAGCGCACACGTACACAGTACTTTGAATACCAGTAGTCTGCAGTAGATGCAACCATTGCTTGATCATGCAATTGGCCAGATTGGGTTTGGACAACTACATGTAGTATATTTATAATGTAAAAAAAGTGTTGTGTGTTTCTCTGTTGTTTACCTACCATCATTTTGATATCCATATGATGCATGGCCCCACCTTTGGCTGCTGGATACTAGCCCGGTGGGTGCCAATCTCCGGCCTGCGGCCGAGTGCTGTTGGATATTAATTTTATATAATAGTAAATCAAAACAACTGAAAATACCAAGAGAGAAAGTGAATATTGACCCAGTTCCGGTTTGCAACCTATTTTGAAACCGCTCCTCTACCGTTTTTCCAGCCTCTTACAAGCATGCACACGTGTGCCCACTCTTCAAGTCTGGAGACAAACTTGCAGCTACCAACTACCGGCCAATATCTCTGCTGCCCGTTGCCTCCAAGATATTGGAGAAGGTTGTCCACCGGCAGATTACTGAATTCTTCCGTGACCACCCAGAGCTGTCTGCCTTGCCACTGGAGCAGTTTGCGTACCGTCCAAAGCACAGTTGCGAAGATGCCCTCGCTGTTTCCATGGATAGGTGGACAAGAGCACTGGACAATGGCCAGTGATGCGCGATACTGTTCGCAGATATGAGCAAGGCTTTCGACCGTGTACAGCATCAGCAACTGGTCAACGAGCTGGCTGACGTCGGGCTAGGCGGCTCTGTGCTGAAGTGGTTTGCGGACTATCTATCCTCCCGAAGTCAACAAGTCATGGTCAATGGGGAGCGTGGTGGGACTGTGTCCTGCACCAGGGGAGTTCCGCAAGGGTCCGTCCTTGGCCCCTCCTCTTTTGCGTCTACATCCGCAAGGTCCGGGCCACAGATTGTTCGGAACAGTATTTCTCAGCTCTATGCCGACAACATCGCATTTTTCATCATTGGAACGGACCTCTCTGTCATGCTGCGAAAGCTTCAGGATGACCTTAGCGCTCTGGAGCTCTACCTAGATGACAAAGGACTTCTCATGAACCCTGATAAGACGCAGTTCCTGGTCCTTCGGCGCCCACGCCAACCTGTGCCGCATCTACCAATCCCCCTAGTTTGTAAAGGCAAGCCCCTCACCCCTGCAGCCACCGTGAAGGATCTCGGACTACTCATCGACGAGCATCTCACCTTCCAGCCGCAAGTCGAGAAGGTCTGCGGTGTGGTGTTCGTCAAGATTGCCGCCTTCAGACATGGCCGAAAAAACCTAACACCTGAAGCGAAGAGGACGTTCTATTTATCCATTGTGCAGTCGACTCTCGACTATGCCAGTAACGCTTATCTGTACTGTCTCAGCGCCACCCTGTTCAATAAGATCGTGACGGTAAGTCACATAGCAATGAAGAAGGTTTTTGGGTTTGACCGTATGATGTCTACTGAAATTGTTCTCCGCAAATATCATCTCTATTCTTTTGAACAGCGCATACATCTTAAACTCTATGTTTTCGTGTACCGCTACTTGTCCCCACATCTTGCTAGTCCCCTTCTCCAATCCTTGTTCCAGCTTAGGCCTAGTTAGGGCTGCTGTGCCTGGACACCAGGCTCGCACGCGCGGCCAGGCACAGCGTGCATTAGTTCTTCCGCCTGTTTCTACGCAATATGGCATGCGTTCTATTTCTTTCCTGGCGGCAGACAGATGGAATGCTCTTTACTTCCCACTGACTGCCGTCAGGCCCCGTCTCTTACTCTGTATGTAAACATGGTAAAAATTCACCTAGGGTTCCCAGTAAAAAGGCAACGCCTGTTGGGACACCCCTAGTAAAATAATAAAATCTACTTTTTTATTATTA